TTAGTTTTGCCATTGATTTCTTTTTCAGCTTTTGATCAATGTCGATGTCTAAAAGTCCTGCTTTAAGATCCGCAAAAAGGGCCTGATACTCTTCTTTTGAGTTTGCAACATGAGGTTTATAGAAAACGTCATTTGCAACACTATTGAACTGTGCGGTCGTCAATACTCTTGTCCAAGAAAGGCTCCCTGCGGTTGTCTCTATCTTGTTGCAAAACCTCCATGTGAACCACATCCGTCTGCCACTGAAATCCTGCGCTGGTTGCCTCTTCTGCAGTTACCAATACTCACTCTGCTGTAATGATCTCTAATTTCCCGGCTTCGTGAAGAGTTCCATCCCACCTGCGAATATCTCTCTCCCACGCCCATCGATGTATCCTTCCCCAAACCGACGTCAAACCTACGCCAAGCCAAACCTCCAAATCTGTGATTTCCCCCCTCGCCTAGCCTCTACTCCAAGGTGCCCTAAATATAATGGGCGATACTCCCCATCTTCCTTAAAGTAATTTTGGTCTAGCAACTACTACTACTATTACTATACTACGTACTAAGATTTCTATAGATTAGTATAAATTAGGTTAAGTTATTTTAGTAAATTTCAGATTGTCACTAACTACGTACTAAAATATTAATTTTTTTGCTTTTAAAAGATAGGTTTAGCGGCTAATAAACTTTACATCTATGATCTATCTATTGGAAGCAATCTCGTTTTTATTGGGGACAATCTCTTTTTTCAGTTGGGGGCAAATGTAATGGTTGGGTTTTGCCCTAATGGTCTACCAGGCATTATGGAAACTTTGTTGGGGCCAGCTGCCCCCTCCCCCCCTCACATACACATGGATCCGCCCCTGCTTAGAAGCCAAAGTGACTGGTTCGACGGAAAATATCCTTTTAGAGGTTATTTGTGTTGATATAAGTTTTGTGATGTTAAAACTTAAAACCTTGTTAGAAACTTATCTAAGGTATTCCTAGAGCTTTCACGGAGTTGAAAGAGTCGACGGAGTAATCGCCGGAGCTAGACAAAGTTTGCCAGAGTTTAGCCGGAATTCAACCGAGAAGGGTAGAACGCGTTAAAGCTCATTCGAGGTGAGTGGGTGACTTAATGTCTTATAATTCTTGGGTTAATTATGAGTTTAACTAAGTAAATGTTATATGTGTTCATAATGATGTTTAAAAGATATTTAAACATGCGATTAGCCAAGCTCGGATGGGCTTATATGGAATGAATTATTTAAATATGCATGAAATATGATATGAAAATTGTGGTCGAGGTATCATCAGTTGAAGATCAAGGAGGGTGACATACCTAAGAGTGCATTTCGCACTAGATACGGTCACTACAAGTTTCTTGTGATGTCATTTGGTTTAACCAACGCACCGGCGGCATTCATGGACTTGATGAACCATGTGTTTAGTAAATACTCAAATCAATTTGTGATAGTATTCATTGATGATATTTTGATACACTCCAAGAACGAGGAGGAGCACGAATATTACTTGAGGCTCGTACTTAAAAGACTAAGAGAAAAACAACTCTTTGCCAAGTTCTCTAAATGTGAGTTTTGGCTCAAAGAGATTGGCTTTCTCGGGCAGGTAATATCCAGTTCCGGCATTGCTGTGGACAACGCTAATATAGAAGCCATCATTGATTGGGAGCGACCCAAGAATGTGAAAGAGATACGAAGTTTCTTTGGCTTAGCGGAATACTATCGTAAGTTCGTTGAGAAATTCTCCGTGTTGGCGTCTCCACTGACAAAGTTCCCAAAGAAAGGGGTTAAGTTCATATGGGACGACAAGTGTGAGAAGAGATTTCTCGAGCCAAAGAAACGATTTACCAAAGCACCAGTTCTCGCCCTACCCATACAAGGGATACGGTATGATATTTACAGTGACACTAGCATCCAAGGGCTTGGATGTGTGTTGATGCAAACCGGTAAGGTAATTGCCTATGCTTATAAGAAATTGAGGAAACATGAGGTGAAGTACCCTACCCACGACTTAGAGTTGGGGGCGGTAGTGTTTGCACTGAAGATTTGGAGACATTATCTTTACGGGGAGACATGTCACATTTTCATCGATCATAAGAGCTTGAAGTATGTATTCACTCAACAAGAGTTGAATATCAGACAAAAGAGATGAATGGAGTTGATCAAGGACTGTGACTTGATCATCGACTATCATCCCGGAAAGGCCAATGTGGTGGCCGATGCACTGAGCAAGAAGAGTACGTCGGGAACGTTACTCACATGTCTACGGGCATTGAGGGCGCGTGTGGAGGTGTCCACGAGCGGGGCCCTCATAGCTAGATTCGAGGTTAGACCTACATTACTAGATGAGATCAGTAAATGTCAAGGCATCGATGAAGAATGTCAGAAGATCCGTGAACGGATCTTTGCGGGGCCCGTTGAGAATTTTCGGGTACGTGAAGATGGTCTTTTATTGTTTAAAGATCGTGTATGCATACCAAAGAATGAGGAGCTCCAAAAGTCTATACTAGAGGAGGCTCATTCTTTGGCTTATGCCATGCATCCGGGAGGTACTAAGATTTACCGAGACTTGAAGAAAAGTTATTGGTGGTCAGGTATGAAGAGAGACATCGCAGAGTATGTGAGTCGATGCATTACTTTCCACCAAGTTAAGGTGGAGCATTAACACCCGGCGAGGCTTTTGCAGCCACTTACCATTCCAGAATGGGAGTGGGAGCATGTGACCATGGACTTCGTGGTGGGGCTACCACAGACGGTGAACAACTACGATGCGGTATGGGTAGTAATTGATAGGCTCGCCAAGAGTGCACATTTCTTTCCTATCAACATTACTTATCCTTGGTCGACCTGTCGCAAATGTGATAAGGTAGTTAGACGATCCTGAATCCTAATTTGCCGCCGGTCATTAAGTTATACAGTTTCAGCGTAAGTACTTCAAACCTCATCAATTCTTCGGAAAAATTAGGAGAAAAGGTTTGATGGCCCAAAAAGTCAGACAAAGCGTCGCAGAGACGTGATCCGAGCAAGAGGTGTAAATTCCATGACGACATAGCACATAGACATACAATAGAGGAATTTGTAGCTTTGACAAAGGAAGTCGCATACCTACTAAGGAACGATTAACTAACTCAAATCATGTTGGAACATACGAAATCAAAGTTACGACTGGACCAAAAACAACATCAATTGAAGAATGAACCCTCTCCCAGTTGGCACACTGCAAGGTAATTAATTTTAATAATGGTGGATCAAATTTATGTGGACTAAACTACTCTGTATTATGCAGCTAAGAGGTATGTCCGAAAATATTGTCAGGACAAGTCATTTGCAAGGTCGAGGCTAGACATGACGCATGAAAGAGCACTCCCATATGGTTCGATGAATCAAACATGACCGACCTATCAGATACACATCATGACGCTCTAGTGATAAACATTCGGGTGGCAAACTGCATGGTCAAGCGCGTCATAGTAGATAACAGGGCATAACTAACATCATCACTTTAAGAATGCTCAACGAGATGGGGGTCAAGGATGAGAATATCTCAAATGAAGGATGGGATCCACTCTCGTCATATTCAAATCTAAAAGTCGAACTCGAGCCTGACTCAAACGATGTTTCTCATCCAAACTTTTTCTCTATTTGATGGTTTGGTTAAAAATAACGGATTGAACATGAAATGTTCATGCTAACTAACGTTTCTAAAACCTATACTCCAATCAATACTATTCAGAACCTGAAATTGTAACCCAAAGTAAACTCAATATAATGTATCAATATTAATGGATTTATATGTATTTTAAGCATACCATAAAAAAAATGTTTGGATCAAAATTATTGGTGACTTTGGAGAGAATTATATGCTTTTGGGAGATGTGCTGCGTATTTGAGAGAAATTATATGTAACAATATGTTTTGAAAAACAAAAACAGTTCCATGAATTTTAGTTCAAGTTTAATCGTCCTTTCATAGAACAAGATTTTAAAGGTAATTTTAGAAATCATCAAACACTTGAATCTTATTAGATTGATGCCACTAATATGGTTGAGGAATTTAGAATGGAAGACAATTTAAATTTATTTAGAAGGGATAATGAACAAAAATGTGACTTTTAATAACATTTATTGAGTTTAATTATGTTCAGATTCTTCAAAATAGTCTATAAGAGTATATTCATAGTTACCTAAGTCAAAGTATTGTTCACAATTTTATTTTAGTAATAACTAGAAGTTTCAATATGTTTTCAGTCCCTCCAAATTTAATACATTTTGTTTTACGTTTATGCAAATTTAGTTCTTAGTTTTTCATTCATAAAATTAAGTTGATTTTGTTTTTAGTCCATGATTGATGATAATAATCTTCGTTTGATAACAAATCAACCTAACTAGTTGGTTTCCTTAAAAAGTATTTAATTTTTTTAGAAGGATTATAATACATGTTTAATTATTTAAGACATTTGCTCACCCAAAAAGGCCTGGATGTGATTAGTTAGAGACAATTCTGAGTGTATTTGCATTTATCACAATTTCTCAAGACATGGCGGTTAACTTTTCCGTATGACCAGCATCTTCAATGCTAAAACGTGAACGATACACACGTGACATAAGAGATAACCAATTAAAAAATAATAAATAGAATATTTCTCTCTTTATTTGAAAGATTTTGTATCATTTTGGTAAGTTGTTTTCATAATGTCAAGCACAATGTGTAGATGTAGACATTGTGCTTGACATTGCAGATGAGGACTTACCAAAAACACATAAAACCGTGGAAAAAATGAGAGAGAAATATCATAAATTTAATTTTTTGTATCTCTCTCATGCCACCTGTGCATCATGCACATTGTAAATACCAGAAAATGTTCTCTTTTAATTGAATAGTGAGATTTTTGTTCCAAAATTAAGTTTTAGTGAAAATTAAGTTTTGTATCTCTCTCATGCCACCTGTGCATCATAAAATTAAGATTTTGCCCCCCTTTCCCGTATTCCAGGTAAGATACGTAAATAAGACGGGAGAGGGAAGAGAGAGTATACAAAAAGAACCACACCCTAAATAAATACAGGTTAATGCCTTTGTGTGGCAAGCGTTGAGAAAAAGTCACCCCCCAATTTCTTTTAGCCTAGTCAACTTCAGGACCAGCGTTCCGCAAGAGGAGATGGCGGCGGCGGCGGCAGCGGCGGCGGCAGCGGCAGCGGCAACACCAGTTGCAGAAGAGGGACAAGTTATCAGCTGCCACAACAAGGATCACATGATCGAAAACATCAAGAAGGGCACAGAGAGCAACAAACTGGTATATTCTCTTCATCGAATTAGGTTTTGAAATTGTAATTTTGTTCTTAGATTTTGAGTCAACTTGTTTCACTAGAAGAGAATTAACAGGTATGCCATATGCTAGGCTGGGTAGCGTGCTTTTGCTTCACTTTGTGACGAATCAATTCAATGCCATTTGTGCAATTTCTAGGCTGTATCTGTAATCATCGGCTTGATCTCAGTCCTAATTGCAGAAAAGTGCAAACCTTTTGGAAAATATTGCAAAAGGTCGCGAGTCTTTCCTTCGAAGCATCTATAAAAGAAGCGAGAAGTTAGGTCTAATAGAATAAATGAACATTTATAACTAAATCGTTAACTCCATGCCATTGTGCTCCAATTCCTTATAACTACTCCGTAAAATTTTTGGACTTAACTATATAGCAACAATGCATAGTGAGGAGCTTTGTGATACTCAATAGAAACGGGTTGGGATACAGATACCAAAACCTTGTGATATGTATATGTAAAGAAAGGTTCATCTAATTTACCTGGACAAGTTGATACTTGCATTTCTGTATTTATACAAGTAAACTTTGTTATCTGAAATGCTGAGTTACTGTCCTAGAGATTGTGATACCTCATAAGCAATTTTGGGATATCTTGAGCATTAAGTCTTTCGTGGAGTCATGGGTGTAGCTCACATTCGAACAAGAATTCGGGCTGCAGTTTTGTTTTCTTTTTTAATGCCAGTGGTAAAAATGTGGGGGATGAACAGCACCAAGTATTTCTCTGTAATTTTTCTGGTGGTGATAGATTTTACGGCATCTTGGTGCCCGCCTTGTCGCTTCATTGCACCAATACTAGCCGAACATGCAAAGCAGATGCTTCATGTGATATTCCTCAAGGTGGATGTGGATGAGCTTAAGGTAAGACGACCTTTAATGTTGTTTTGTAATCTAGTCCCCGTCATTTTATTAGAAGTGGTAAAACATTTGAGTGTGTCTGATTGTCTGCAATTTATTTACACACTCACTGAGACAGTGAGACCGTAACAAACCCATTCTCTACAGGAAGCTGCTGAACTATACTCTGTTGAGGCCATGCCAACTCTTGTTTTCCTAGTAGGTGGAGTGGAGGTGCATAGGATTGTGGGTGCTAACAAAGATGAGCTAAAAAATGCATTAGATAAGCACGCTGTACAAGCTTCTCCTTGAGGGCCTAATATCATATAGCTTACTGTCCAATTGAAGAACAAATATGATCCCTTGACTTTCTGCTTCATTCTATCTTAATGTTTTTATGAAGTACTCCATGATAATAATGATTACCACACCTGGTTTTCATAGTTAAGTTTGAATGCTTTCATGTTATGTGGCTTCCAATATTGCTGCATCACTGTATCAAGTCATGCTAAGCTTCTGTTTTGATGATTTGGATTTAAGATGCAATTGCTCTCATTTTACTTATTCTTTATGGTTCTGTGGATGTTTGCATTATTGTTGACTTGTTGTTTGGTTGTTCCCATAAATCTATAATGCTATATTATATGCTGTCATCAGAGGATTGCTTCTTCATTAGCAACTTACTGATATTAAAACAGTTCATCATAGGAATAGAGGCTTCACAAGGTTGGTCTGAGAATATTTTTGGCACAGCTGATAAAACTGTCAAATACTCCGTAGTTTTTTTTCCAGACTGACCGTGGTTCCCTATGACTAGGGTTGGACCAGTTCCGGGCCGACTGGCCCGTGGCCCAACCTGGCACTGTTTGGAACCGGCCCGGCCCGCCAACCGGGCCCTGGACGGCTGGACCGGTCCGAGCCGACCCGAACCGGGTGTTACCTAGAGCGGGCCCGGGTCATGTAAAATAGGAACCGGCCGGGCCGGGCTTGGTTCGGGCCTTTTTTTCATTTTTTTTGTTTTTCCTGGGTTGGGCTGGGTGTTTTGGGGGGGTGGGGGTGAGGGGTGGGGTCGGGGGATAATTAGTCATGGACCGAAACCGGGGCGCCCGGCACGTGAACCGGCCCGGTACTGTGTTGAATTGGCCCGGTGGCCCGGTCAGAGATTGGACCGGGTAGGCCTAGGGATGGACCCGGGCCGGGCCGGTTCCGGTTCCGGGCCGGGCTCGGGCAGGCTTTTTTTGGAGAATGTTTGGCCCGGAACCGGCCCGGGGTGATCCCGGGTCCGGTTCGTGTCGGGTCGACCCGGGCGGGTACGGGCCGGGCCGGGCCGGGGTTTTAATTTTTTTTTTTACATACCAAATTAAGATTACTTGGATATAAAAAAGGTAAAAACATATTTATTTCATATTTGTAGTACAATTGAAAATTGAGCAAAAATAAAAACATGAAATACACTTTGTAATAAGTAATTAAGTATGAATCAATTAGAATTTCCTCCATCGTCAGTTGTTTCTTCCATAAAGTGGCGGGTGGGTTCAATGCTGATTTCTTGAGTTCTATGTTTGGCCTTCAACCAATCGTGGAAGCAAACAAGCGTCTCAAGAGAGTTTGCGCTTAATCTCGTTCTATAATCCGTTAGGACGTTGCCGGCCGCACTAAACTCTTGTTCCACAGCAACTGTTGATACCGGCATTGCTAGCACTTGCTTAGCCATCTTTGATAAGATCGGGAACGTTCTCTTTTTTTCCTTCCACCACTGAAGAACGTCAAAGTCATCCCCTTCTTCATAATCAACAGGAAATGTTAGATACAAAGAAAGCTCGTTGATCGAGCTTTGTTCATTAACCGGAGTTGATTTACTTTTTTTCATAAGATTGCCAAATGCAGATTTGAAAATTGATTTTCCTTTAGATGAAGAAGATGTTCGTGGCGGGGGAGGGGGTGCGTTACCATATTGTGCATGAAACTCATTAAATAATTGATATAATAAATTACTAACCTCTTGGAATTGTTGTTTAGGGTCTATGGCCTTGTCGTCGTACATAGGCAATGGACCAAAAAAAGAAGCATAATAGTAATCTAAACATTTCTCCAAAGAAGCAAGTCTAAAACGAGGATCAAGAATAAATGCAATACCATATATATGCGGAATATAGGAATAATATTTTAAAAACTTTTGTTTCATGAAGTCACAAAAATAACTAACGTAAGCGGCGTCAGAGAATTCAGAAAAAGCGCTGGTGAGATTAACAGCTTCAACAAAAAATTGGTTTGCGGTAGGTTTATAAACATGACTAAAAGTTTCAGTGGCATTATTAAAAAACACCAAAACATTCACAATTTTTTCACAAGTGTCGATATCGGCCGGGTTTATAATATAGTTAGCATATTCTCTTAAAAAAGCGGGAAAATGGTTTTTATATCTAATAAGCACTTTAATTAAATTATAAGTACTATTCCAACGAATAGACAAATCTTTAGGAAAAGCACAATATTTGACACGTCTTTCTTTCAAATAATTTCTCCATTGCATCTTAAGTGGATTACTAGCCCAAATAAGTTTAATCCCCCCCTTGACCACCTCCAAAGCATCTCCCAACGCCGCTAGTCCGTCCTTTACACATAAATTTAAAATATGACATGCACAACGCTGATGAAAAAACCTACCCATCAAAGAAGATGAACCACACAATTCACGCAATCTAGGAATAGCCGCAGTATTATTAGTAGCATTATCAAAACCAATAGCAAACACCTTATCAATCAAATTATACTCAATTAAAAAGCGCTCAATGAGAATATAAATATTATCGCCGGTGTGTCGATCATTAAATTCACGAAAAGCAAGAACACGTTTATGCATACACCAATCATCATCAATATAATGTGCAGTCAAACCCAAATAATATAAATGATGATGAGTATCCTCCCATATATCACTACATATGCTAACACGGCCATCAAAGTTTGCGAAAAATATTTGTAATTTTTCCTTTTCCAAAACATATTGCCTTATAACTTCTTTTTTAATTGTTTTGCGGCTATAGTTTCGAAATTGAGGATTTAAAGTACCTTGAGCATATTCTTTTAAAGCAAGACTTTCGGAAAAAATAAAAGGCAAATTTTCTTCAACAATCAAATGCGACATACCAGTCAAATGTCTTTGATCATCATAGGAGAAATTACCGAAGGGTTGGCCACTTCCAAATCTTGAAATTTGTGTTTGCTTTCCCTTGCCTTTGTCTGATTTCGCATATTCCGCCGGGTGCTTGGCCTTAAGATGCCTTGTGGCGCTCCCGTACCCTCCAGAAGTTCCCAAGTTATACTTCTTTGGGCAATGCTTGCAAGTGGCGTACCATATCTCGGTTTGGGGGTCTTTAAATTTTGTAAAATTTGCCTTAAAGACTGATTCTGCTTTCTCACCGCCTTGGGAAGAAGTAGCCACTTCCGCTTGCTCTTCATCATCATACGGTGTGCCATGAACCTCGTGCTCGACCGTTTGCGGATCCCTCTCCTCCGCATCATCATCCTCGAGCTCTTCTTCGTCAATGGTCGGGATGTTTTGTTGATGGAAGAAGGCCCCTTGATTTTGTTGTAATAGTTGTTCTACTTGCTCATCGGACATCGCAGACCCATATCTTTGGTTATAATCCGCATCAAAATCATCTCGGGTTTGAGATGAAGCCCCGGCCCGTCCCTTACCTTTGTGTAAGCTTGGATGATTCCTCGCAATCTCCTTTGTTCGGTTGCGGCGGAGGTTACCCATATCTACTGAAGCTCTACCACGTTCCATCTTAAAAATATAACAAATATTAAATTCGAAGTACAATTAAACTAGTGAATTTGAAATACAAATCTAACAAATCGAACTACAATGTAACAATTAAATTCGAACAATTAAATTGACTAGAATGTAACAATTAAAATGTACCAATTAAATTAACTTTTATTATAAAATTTGAACAACTTCAATGTAATTAACAATTAACTAGTTTAATAGGAGAAATTTTAACTACACATTAAATGTAACAATGCAATGAAATTTAGAGGAGAATAATAAATGTAACAATGAATTAACTATTTTGATAGGAGAAATTTAACTACTTTTATATTAAGTGTATAAGTAGATATAGTAAATATATATATATATTTAAAAGTAGATAATAAGTAGATTAACTAGTAATATATAATATTATGTTTATAGTATATATAATATAAATATATGACTATAAGATGAGGAATACACTTAATATATTAAGTAGATAATAAATTTTATAAAAAAAATATATATGTAGATAAATTTTTGAACAACTATAATATCATTAACAATTAACTAGTTTGATAGGAGAATAATAAATGTAACAATTAACTAGTATTATAGGAGAAGAAATGTAACAATTAACTAGTTTAACAAGTAAACAATTAATTTCGAATTCTTGTCTAACAATTTTTAATGTAACTATTTCCAATAAACTAACAACTACCAATTAACTACTTTTATAGCAATGAACTAATACTAAAAGTCTAAAATGATAAGTGAAACAATTAACTACTTTTATATTAATGAAGAATGTATTAGTGTGTAAACAAAATTAATGGGAGTGTAAGAGTGTATAAATAAGTGTATAAGTAGATGTAGTAAATATATATTTATAAGTAGATAATAAGTAGATAATATTATGTTGATAGTATATATAATATAAGTATATTACTACAAGATGACTAACACACTTATATATTATACTTTAATATATAAGTATATTACTATAAGATGAGTAATACACTTATATATTATACTTTAATATATGTATAACTAATATAAGTATATATTAAGTATATGTAATATGTGAATATAAGTAAATAAATTAGAGATAATTCTATATGTAATATGTAAATATAAGTAAATAAATATACTTATATAAGTAACAATAATATAATAATTAGATATTAATATAAGTAGATAATAAATTATATAAATATAATATATGTAGTAATAAATTTGAGAAATTGAGAAGATGAAGATGGGGAAGATTAGTAGAGAATAGAGATTAGAGATTTAGAGAGTAGAGATATTTGGAGAAGATGTGTAGTAAAGTGTAGAAAAAATGGAGTATTTATAGATATTTAGTACCCCACCCCCCACCCCCACCCCCCAACCCGGGACCCCCTGGAAGGCTCCCAATGGCTATAGAGCCGTTTGGGTTGAAAGCCAACGGCCATAAGGCCTGTTTGGCTGAGAAACAATTTTTTTTTTTTAAATATATCCGTTAGGCCCGGACCGGGCCCGAACCGGCCGGGCCGGGCCTCCAAACTAATGAACCGTGCCCGAACCGCCCTACCCCCCCGGGCCGGGTCAAAGCCCGAACCGGTTCACCGGTCCCGGTTCCGGGCCGTGCCAGCACAGTGGCGGGCCGGGCCGGTTCCGGGCCGGCCCGGCCCGGTTGAGTCCACCCCTAGGTAGGCCCGGCCTGGGGGTTACATAGGGCGGGCCCGGGTCATCCAAAATAGGAACCGGTTGGGCCCGGTTCGGGCCATTTTTTTTGTTTTTCCTGGGTTGGGCTTGGTCTTTGGGGGGGGGGGGGGGGGGGGGGTTAATTAGAAAAGGAAAAAAAGGAACCGGCCCGAGGCCCGACCTGGCCCGGAACCGTTGG